GGAAAGAAAGGGGTTGTTAGGTTTTGGTGGAATGGAAGGAAGAGCAGACTGGGGCAGCTTCTCCATTTACACACACAAACACACCCAAGACCCTCCGCACGCACACACCCAATGCGCGCACATTAAACTAACTGAGGCAGATGTGACTGAGAAGGACTCTCTGCCCTGCAGCTGCACTTCCCACTTTCTGGATTTACCCCAGGTTCTAGTGCTCAGAAGAAAATCAACTCAGTCTCTGAACAATTCACCCCTCACGCAGTGCACACTGGGGCAGTGACGCCAGGGTGCCCACTGGTGCCCAGCAGGTTGGTCACTCGGGGATGGTGGGAAGCATTTCAGGGAGCGGTGTCACTCTGGCATAGAGGTTCTGGTGGGCTGTGGCTTGTCCGACTGCATGTGGGATGCAGACACCCAAGGGCCCAGATTACAGGCTTCTTGGTGGCTAAATGCAAATTAGACCCTCAGGTGCCAGGAATGGAGCCCAGTGCCCGTCAACTGCTCTCTGCACCCTAGCATGGGAAAGCCAGGCCCCAGAGAGGTTGGGAGCGGCCACCCCATTCACACCCCAGGAAGAGAGTTTGGGGAGAGAGCTACACAGGCTTTGATTCGTATCGTAGTGTCTGAGTCTGGGGCAGCATTAAGACGGGCGTGAGGAGGAGAACGCTGGCAGGAGAGACATAGACTGAGGTGGAGTGGCCAAGGTCCTTACAGGATGAGTGGCTAGGACAAAAGAGGGAGTGGGAAGGGGGATGGAAAGTCTGTGGAGAGAGGGCTGAACCAGGGTGGGGTCAAAGGAAGCCAGACAGGACTGACTATGAGCAAAGGTGCTGGACCAGTGTGTATAGTGGGAGAGCTGAGAGACACTGAACCGAACGGTAAACCCTGGATAGAATGGAAACCACTTCCAGCCAGGGGGTGCGGCAGTGGCGTGGTTTCCATTCTATCCAGGGTTTACCGTTCGGTTCAGTGTCTCTCAGTTCTACCACTTTAAACACTGGTCCAGCACCTTTGCTCATAGTCAGTCCTGTCTGGCTTCCTTTGACCCCACCCTGGTTCAGCCCTCTCTCCACAGACTTTCCATCCCCCTTCCCACTCCCTCTTTTGTCCTAGCCACTCATCCTGTAAGGACCTTGGCCACTCCACCTCAGTCTATGTCTCTCCTGCCAGCGTTCTCCTCCTCACGCCCGTCTTAATGCTGCCCCAGACTCAGACACTACGATACGAATCAAAGCCTGTGTAGCTCTCTCCCCAAACTCTCTTCCTGGGGTGTGAATG